TGGGCTTGCTCAAGACACGAAGTCCGATCTCAGAAATCGAATAGGAGGCGCTCGCTTCTGCAAAAGCTTGGGCTCCCTAAGAGACCACGAAGGGGCCGATCTCAGAAAATCGAAGAGGCATCCTACTTTTCAGCCTGTCACACCCTGTCACATCGCAAAAACTGCTTATTTGTTCCAACATCGCGCAAATCAGGATACATTGAGATTAAAATGTTGATATGATCATTATTTATAAATAATTTTACAAAATTGCGTTTGCAAATTTCACATATAACAAAGTGGTAGCCCACACGTCAGCTTTGGCGGAAATAATATGGGCATTTTCGATCAAAGACTTTCGGGGAAGTTAGAAAACACAATAATATCTGATGTCAAAATGGGTACATTATAGACCTGACAAATTTCTACAGAATAATGAATCATTTATTATCATGGATCAATTCACCCACTTCCTCTATACAGGCGCGGTTTTTTCACAAAACAAACTAGCTCATTGGGGATGTACCTTAGGGTAAAACGAAGAGATAGATAGTAATCACACTATTGCCAAAGTCTCACTGCCAAAGCTATTAGAAAATGCAACTTAAAATAAAACATTAAATTTAAATGATGCTACATGTGAGAAGCTTCGCACGGAATGCTCACACCTGCACACCAATTAGGTAAATTGGTGCATACACTAACACTCGAAAGAACGTGCGTACAAAAGAATATATTAGATAGTGAGTGAAAGACTTACAAAAAGAGTGTAGATAATAATCCACAATAAATTTCCAGTGGAAAGGTCTAGCTACGCGCAAATGTATTAACCACGGGACGCTAAACGGTAAGCACAAGGGTAAAAGGAGAAGTATAAGAACCATACTGCTGGATAATTGGGAAAGTCCATGTATGTCAACATCGTCTGTGGCTTTCAGGTGGCCAAGGTAGATCTAGCAAAACACGTGAGAGCCAATACTCTTTATCACAAATTACGAAGGAAAAACATCCCAATAAGGAGTGCTTATATATGCAAATACCAGAATATTCAGAGAGAGATAAGTAGGCACCCGTCCTCCGTAAATCTAAAGGAGCCAGACTCCTACATGACTACTTTCTAAAAATCAAGAGCCGGCGTAAAAATGAACATGGAGACCATTGATCCTAAAGAATATAGTTTTTCAGAGGAATAGTCCCATCAGAATGTGTACGTCTCGGGTGCTCGCATATATAACGAGTGAAACTCATAGCAAACATGCCCTCAAAAACTAATTTACTCACATTAGCGAAGATAAATCAACACTTCCCAACAAGATTGCTGCTACACGTATAAATCAGTGAAAATAGGCCACCACCACTCCCGAATCTCTGAGAAGTGCAATCTCTCACCAAACATGAAACTTTACTACAATTAAAATCGGACATAGACAAATCGAGTCAAATACTCACCGAATTCTCGAGAGCCAGACCTCCCCCAGCATGTATTGCTTTCTATCCAAAATCGTGAGCAACCGTCTTGAATCAAAATCGAAGAGCGCGCTCCCGCTTTCTCAAAGCTGGTCTGCCAGGAGCGGTATGTACATGAGGGCCTAATCTTCAGAAATTTTCTGAGACAGAGTGCCACCTACTTATTTTTCTAGCCTAGTTCAGCACTATGTACACACACTCACACTATCAGCTTTGCAGAAATTTATGGAGCATTTTTGTCGAAAAGGACTTCGTGGTGAAGTAAGAAGCACCATGAATTCTTACTGTTTCAAGGCATCACCCACGTTACACACGCACATATGTCACAACACTCATGGTGACAGGGGATAACAACAATGTATCACTTATATGCCCAAAGTTTTCTCTGCCAATAGTTTGAGCACCACGATGAAAAGGGCTTATGCGAGTCACTTCCCACTACACTCGCTTCTGACAAACGAAAGGTAAAAGAATAGCAAAGAAATCAGCACTGAACAAAAGTTTAAGAACAGACCATCAGCAATCGACAGAATAAAAGCTTTGAATTAAAAAATATTTAAAGGTGTCGAAGGTCCCTAGCCACAACGCAGAACTATATGTGTGTCATTCATCCCACACAGGGTAAAGAGACAGCTTACCACGTGCTGATTAATATGAAAGTCCTCTCGTGTGTCAAACCTCACAATGAATAGGACTAATCGTGTGTGAAATCAAGTATTATAGGGTAGAGTAGACCTACCACCGACATAACATGCAAAATTCCAATCCTTTAATTCACATTTCGTTAGAAGAGTATCTCGAGAGCCCAACAAGAATTGCTTGCTCCAAAATCGAAGAGGCATAAAACCAAGTCTCGCGAAGCTCGAACAACAAAGAACTCCCACAAAAAAATGACTAATATTCTCGAGGAATCGAGCAAGAGGGTAAAGGAACAGTACCATGCTGGATTAATCTGGACAAGTCAATAGTTGTGTCACCTGTTGGTGCTTCGTAGGCAAGTAGAACGTAGCAAACACACATAGTCCAATCCTTTACCTTGCGCACTACATTCGAAGCACAACACTCACCCAACAAGAATTGCTTGTCCGAGAAATATCGAGAGAGTGTTGGACAACACTTGAAAAAAGCTTCAGAATGCTCGAGAGCCCAAGACTCCAACTTGAATATAACTTCCTCAAAATCGAAGAGGACACTGCTCTCGGAATCGAGAGTCAGACCCCAGCATGATGCTTTCTCAAAAATCGAAGATCGCATCGTTCCTCCGAATCTCTGAGAGCGATTGACCAGACCACTTTTTCAAAGTGCTCTGACAGAGTTAAATCATGTGAAACTGCAGCTCCCACTACCGTGCTATGACAAGGCAGGTAAAGTAACATTACTACTTGTTGTTAGGAGACTCCTATATATGTCGACTCATCCCCAATTCGAACAGGCAGACCTGCAAAAATGCTCAACCCTTCATCATATCTGAAGGGGACTCTCCCAACCAAAGCCTTTCAAATATTCAGCTTTCTTTTAGTCCGATAAACTTGCATTGTTTAATAGGAGCAAGGTCATATCATCAGGGTTAAAAGCAAGAGTATCCCATATCATGCTTTTTCCCTGTTTTTTTCTTTTGGCCTTGTTTTTACCTGCAAGACAAGGAGAAAGAGAGCAATCAGTCAGTACTTGGAATCAAGCTTCCAGCCAGGAACTGACTGCCTGGAACCCCTTACCTGATTACTTACCTGGCATTGCTCTCGAGTACTCATCTTCATCATCTTATGTTTCCAGGGAAGATTCCGCATCTGCTTGAGGAACAGATAGGGCAAGTGCGAAGGATACAAGGAAGCATGTGGAGACAAGCGTAACAGCACACGTGCCGATACATCCATTACTCTGTCAAAAGCAAAAGTATCCCATATCAGCAGGGTGGAACGTACTCTAGATTTGATGGACTTGTTTTGACCCTCAAATTTTTCAGTCGGCCTTATACTCTGGAGGAAACCAGAAAACCCTCCAGCTCAGTTCAAGAATAAGCCTGTGGAAAGTTACTTCTTCAAAAGCAAAAGTATCTCATATCATCTCTTCTCATTTTTCTTCTCTTTATCCTTCATGCTGCTGCAAGATGGGGAGAAGGTGAACAATCAGTCGGAGCTCTGATTGCTTACCTTGTCTGTCACCTCTTTCAGCAGACCCCCTAGCTCGGCGACTTGGGGGACTCCTACTACATGGTTTGTATCGCGCTTGACCAAGCCTGAAACTACAAGTAAGCTTCAAGTGAAATTGATACATTACCTTGTGCATCTCCACCAGTTAAAGATACCACCCCTGGATGGAGGAAGAGTACTTCCAGAGAAGATGCCACATCTACCTATGAGACAGATAAGGCAAGTCAAGACGACACCACACTCCGATACTTAGAAGTTTCGTGATTACGAGATCATTATCCCACAATATTTCCTAATGTCATTTGTACTAAATCATTCACTCGTACTCACTAAAGGAGAGCTTGAACCTATGTACTTGTGTAAACCCTTCACAATTAATGAGAACTCTTCTATTCCGTGGGCGTAGCCAATCTGGGTGAACCACGTACATCTTGTGTTTGCTTTCCTATCTCTATCCATTTATATACTTATCCACACTAATGACCGGAGCAATCTAGCGAAGATCACAAAAAGCGACCGTTTTCGTTACCTAGGATCTATCTTGCAAGAGAACGGAGAATTAGATGGAGATCTCAACCATAGAATACGAGCTGGATGGAAAGAGTGCATCCGGCGTGTTGTGTGACCGTCGTAGGCCACTGAAGCTCAAGGGAAAATTTTATAGGACGGCAATAAGGCCAGCGATGTTGTATGGCAGAGAATGTTGGGTGGTGAAGCATCAACACGTACACAAAATGGGTGTAGCGGAGATGAGGATGCTTCGTGGGATGTGTGGGCACACGAGAAAGGATAAGATTGGGAATGAGGATATCCGAGGGAGGTAAAGTAGGAGTAGCCGAAATTGTAGGAAAGATGAGAGAAAATCGGCTCTGGTGATTTGGACATTTGCAAGAGAAGGCCGACTGACGCTCCGGTTCGAAGAAGATGTGACTACGGGACACAGAGGTTCAGGGCCGAAGGGGTAGAGGAAGACCTAGGAAAACTTTGGAAGAGACTCTAAGAAAAGACTTAGAGTACTTGGATCTAACGGAGGGCATGACACAAAACCGAGCGCAATGACGTTCTAGGATTCATATAGCCGACCCCACTTAGTGGGAAAAGGCTTTGTTGTTGTTGTTGTTGTTGTTGGGAGTGAGATGGCAGAAAATGGGGGAAAAGGGAGGGGGAGGTAGCGTGAGAGAGAAGGTGCGATGATTGTGTTGGCTTTCGGTAAAAAGTGGTAATAAAATAATAGGAAAACTGATTGCTATGTGGAGTAAGGGTGCGTTTGGTACGTGGGACGGGACGGAACGGGACGAGGCGTTCCGTCCTGCGTTTGGTGCGCCAAAAATGGGTGGAACGGGCTGTTCCACGGGACAGATTTTGGGTGTTTTTGCGTTCCACCTCCCCCCTAGAACGGGTTTGTTCCACGTCTGTGGAACATAATGTTTTACCATTTTAAGACAAATATACCCCATGTCTTTTTCAAAAATTACACCTTCATTCCGTCCCGTCCCGTCTGCGTACCAAACGCACCCTAAGGTATAGACCCGTGATAGAAGTGGGGAGGGTCCCACACTTTCTGATTTTCAAACTTCACAGCAACCTAACCAAAAACGGATTCTCACAGTAATGAATATCTTTGAAGATGATGACCAATATAATGTCTATTACCCAAGTACACCACGAAATCCACCACGAAATCAAGGACCAAGTCAACCAAATGTTGATGAATATTATTAGTATTAGTAATTGTTGTAATTCTAATGTAGTATTTTACTTATCATTTATTAATCTTTATTTAGTGTTTTAATTATTGTTTGTATTAGTAATTGTTGTAAGATTGAAGCATACTATATAGAACTATTTCAAAGTTTTAATCCTTATCTTTATAAAAATGTAATTATTGTTCCATGGCTTTCATGTTATGTTTCAAGGGGCATGTTTATCGAAATTTAAATATTTTTAAGTTAAAATGTTCACAAAAATAAATCAAGATAATTTACATAAATTTTACTTTTAGAAAAATTAACCGACAAAAAATTAGGCTAAAATCATTCTTTAATAATCCTTGCCTAAAATTTTTAGCCAAAACTATTGGGAGATCAAAGTTATTTTTGAGTTAAAACTAATTTTTTTTTTATACAACACAATCATGGAGGTAGACTTGGGGCTAGTCTGGGTTGCTATATATATATATATATTTTTTTTTTTTTCAAAACTGCTTCTGTTGTACTATGAGAATAAATAGCTGTAAAAAAGCAGGTAAGTGTAATGGTAAACTATAGTGCTAAAAGTGCTCTTAGCTAAAAAAAAAAAGATGGGGTAGGATTGTCAATATGAATGTTTCATTAATTGATATTGTTCACCTGCCTCATTTGAAAAAAAAAAAACAAAAAACGCTTTTTTGAGAAGCATGTGTAGAGTTGCTTATGTTTTCAATTGTTTTAGACCTATGATTTGAAAAAAAAAAACTTTTTTTATTTATTTACCAAACACAATTAAGGACCCAACTTTTAAAAAAAAAAGCTGCTTTTAAAAAATTTGAGCAACCCCAAACTAGCCATAATTAAGTTTTCAAAATTATTAATGCTCGTAAAAGTTGAACATAATATTTTTTATTTATAAATAAAGAGATAAATATCACTACACAGTATGTGTTACAACTGATTCTTAATAATCTTTAGATGATTGCCCCAAAGAGATAAAATATTAAGTCCACTTGCATTTCCCAAATTTTCTTTTATTTGATAAGTTTGAACTTATGACACCAAACGAAATAACTTTAATGAGAAGAAAAAAAAATAGAAATAAATGATAGGAAACAACCGTTAAAATGAGTGGGGTGGGCCCCATAAAACAATTACATGCATTTGGGACAAAGACTGAGACTTTGCAAGTCCTCTATCTTTCTTTTCTCCCCCCCCCCCCTTTTTCGGTGCAGGTTGAATTGAATTAACTACGATAGCCCATGAATGCCATTATAAATAAGCCCTAGGAGTATATTTTAATACGCACACGAAATTAAACACTAGTGGCCATGACATCTTTAGATTTTCATAAACTATGCCCTCTGGCTTATTGCCTTGTCTTATTCGTACAACTTCTTTCATTGCCAAGTTGTGCTGCTTTTGCTTCTGCTACTTCTACTATTGAAGCAGAAGCGCTTCTCAAATGGAAAGCCACCCTTCAAAACCATACCCACCTGCAAAATCTCACATCGTGGGCTTACCTACCCGCTCATACAAAAGTAGCCCCATGCTTTTGGACTGGTATTTCATGCAATGCTGTTGGAAGTGTCAGTGTGATAAACCTTACCAATTCCGGTATACAAGGAACGCTACATGAGTTTTCATTCTTGTCTTTCCCCAATCTTCAATACCTCGATCTCAGCTACAATAATCTCCTTAATGTCATTCCAGCTCAGATCAGTTCCCTCTCCAAACTTATCTATCTTGATCTTTCCAACAATTGGCTCAATGGTTCAATCCCAATATCTCTTGGTGATCTCACAAACATTACCATTATCCATCTCCACCGTAATAATCTTTCTGGCACTATTCCTCAAGAGATAGGGAAATTGAAATCTCTTGTGGAGCTCGGTTTGTATGAGAATCAGCTCAGCGGTTCAATCCCAACATCCCTAGGTCAGCTCACAAACCTTACCACTCTCTATATGTATAGTAATAATCTTTATGGCACTATTCCTAAACAGATAGGGAAATTGAAATCTCTTGTGGACCTAGAATTGTCTGAGAATCAGCTCATCGGTTCAATCCCAACATCCTTAGGTCAGCTCACAAATCTTATCGCTCTCTATCTCAATAATAATAATCTTTCTGGCACTATTCCTAAAGAGATAGGGAAATTGAAATCTCTTGTGGAGCTCGTTTTGTGTGAGAATCAGCTCAGTGGTTCAATCCCAACATCCCTAGGTCAGCTCACAAACCTTACCACTCTTTATCTCTATAGTAACAATCTTTCTGGCATTATTCCTAAAGAGATAGGGAAATTGAAATCTCTTGTAGAGCTCAGTTTGTATAAGAATCAGCTCAGCGGTTCAATCCCAACATCCCTAGGTCAGCTCACAAACCTTACCACTCTCTATCTCTATGGTAATAATCTTTCTGGCACTATTCCTAAAGAGATAGGGAAATTGAAATCTCTTGTAGACATAGAATTGTCTAAGAATCAACTCAGCGGTTCAATCCCAACATCCCTCGGTGATCTCACAAACATCACCTTTCTCTATCTCTCCCGTAATAATCTTTCTAGCACAATTCCAAAAGAGATAGGGAAATTGAAATCTCTTGTGGAGCTCGGTTTGTATGAGAATCAGCTCAGCGGTTCAATCCCAACATCCCTCGGTGATCTCACAAACATCACATTTCTCTATCTCTCCTGTAATAATCTTTCTAGCACAATTCCAAAAGAGATAGGGAAATTGAAATCTCTTGTGGAGCTCGGTTTGTATGAGAATCAGCTGAGCGGTTCAATCCCAACATCCCTAGGTCAGCTCACAAACCTTACCATTCTCAATCTCCATAGTAACAATCTTTCTGGCACTATTCCTAAGGAGATAGGGAAATTGAAGAAGTTGACTGAACTGCAATTAGGTGAAAACCAATTAATAGGTTATTTGCCCGAAAATATTTGTTATAGTGGACAACTCCAAAACCTTTCAGTGAGCAATAACCATTTGACAGGCCCAATCCCCAAAAGCTTGAAAACATGCAAGAGCTTTGTTAGAGTTCATCTTGAAGGGAACCAATTCACAGGCAATGTATCAAAAGATTTTGGTGTTTATCCAAATCTTGATTTCATAGATATGAGTCACAATAAGTTTTATGGTGAAATTTCACATAAATGGGGACAATGCGCACAATTAGAAACCTTACTAATTGTGGGAAACAACCTTAGTGGTAGCATACCTCCCGAGATTGTCAATGCTGACAAAATCCATAAACTCGACCTTTCTTCAAATCACCTAGTTGGGGCCATTCCAAAGGGGTTAGGGAGAATGACTTCTTTGCAGAAGTTGATGCTGAATGGAAATCAACTTTCAGGCTGTATACCTTCGGAATTTGGATTACTTGTTGATCTTGAATATCTCGACTTGTCATCAAACAAATTAAATGGGTCAATTGCGAGCGCATTAGGCAACTTTCTCAAACTGTACCATCTGAATTTGAGCAACAATCAATTTTCCCAAGGAATTCCATTGAAGTTGGAAAAGTTAGTTCAGTTGAACGAACTGGACTTAAGTCACAACTCACTTGAAGGTAGCATACCACCTGAAATCAGCAATATGGAGAGTCTACATACACTCAATCTTTCTCATAACAATCTTTCGGGTTTCATACCATCAAGTTTCGAAGGCATGCACAGCTTGTTATACGTGGATGTATCTTACAATGAATTGGAAGGTCCCCTTCCCAACAACAGAGCATTTCAACAAGCTCTGCCAGAAGCTTTACAAGGGAACAAAGGACTGTGCGGCAACGTTGAAGGTTTGCAATCTTGCACAATTGGCCCAAGGAAGCACCGCAAATGGGTATTTGGAATCACATTCTCCCTTATAGCAGCAATTTTACTTCTTTCTACTTTCTTTACAATTAAATTCCTAATGGAAAGAAAGAAGAAACGTCCAGAAAAAGCAGAAAAAAACTTGCATGAAGAAATATCGTTTTCAGTTTTAAATTTTGATGGAAAGTCAATGTATGAGGAAATCATAAGGGCGACAGAAAATTTTGATTCCACATATTGCATCGGGAGTGGAGGACAAGGAAGTGTCTACAGAGCAAATTTGTCAAGTGACAACATAGTCGCTGTGAAAAAACTACATCAATTGTGGGATGACGAGAAGAATTTGGAGACGACATTCTTGAATGAAATAAGGACACTAACAGAGATAAGGCACCGGAATATTGTGAAGCTTTATGGTTTCTGTTCACACCATCAACACTCGTTCTTGGTGTACGAGTTTGTTGAAAGAGGTAGCTTGGCTGCAATTTTGAGCAAAGATGAAGAAGCTAAAGAAGTAGGGTGGAGAAAAAGGGTTAATATTGTTAACGGTGTAGCTCATGCCTTGGCATACTTGCACCACGATTGCGTGCCACCAATTGTGCACCGGGACATATCAACCAAGAATATTTTGTTGGATTCTAAATATGATGCCTCTGTTTCAGACTTTGGCACTGCTAAGTTTTTGAATCCAGGCTCAACAACTTGGACTGCCGTTGCAGGCACATATGGGTATGTCGCACCAGGTAATATGTTTTCTTCCTTTTAACCTTATTAATTGAGTGTTGTCTATGATTAATTTTTTGGTCAAATTTATTTCTTTTCAACATTAGGACGGATTAAACATACCATGTTCCATGCTTTGATTTTGAGGAGAACATTCACATAAAGTATAGGCGATACTTGGGTTTATTGTATGTTCTTCCAAGTCAGCACTCTCTTTCCTTAAAGTTAAAACATAAAAAAAAACTGGAAAAAAAAAAACCAATTATAAACATGCAAACTATAGTAAGCTTCTAATTCAATAAGTAATACCAATCGAGATGTTAATGAATTACTAAAAACTAACTAATTAAAACAACATGCAGTAAACATGGAAACTGCAGTAAGAATATAAATACCATGTAAGATTTACCTTTTTTGTCAAAAAACCAATCTCTAGTACATAACAATGCTTGAATGGTTTCAGGCAATAAGCAACTACGATATTGATGGATCATTCTAGCACCAATACTAAATACTGATTCTGAGGTGACAATAGAAACAAGAATTGTTAATACATCGCAAGCCAAACGAGAAAGGACAGGATAATGAAATTGATCTACTTTCCACCGAGAAAGAATATCCAACTCTTGTTTTCTCTCAAGTCTTTCTTCATCAAGATATTTACGTAATTCAGATTTTGTACATAAAATTGAGCCCTTTTTGTAACGTTTATCGAAATCCTGCATATCAAGAATAAACATATCGAAGAGAGCCCATGTCTTGTATTCCTCAGATCATATACCAACATACAATATAGATGCATACAAAAAGTACAAAAACATCAACAATAAACATTAATATTACCTCAAAAGTTTAGTTTGACCCAAGGTCTGATTCATTGGATTTGAATGATGACAATGTACCACCAACATTCTTCAACTCCTTCACAGTATCTCTACATGAAGTTGAAGGGAAAAATGAAAATTTTATTCTGATGCATCTATTAGCAACTTTTAGCAAGCTAATAAGAAATCCCTAAAACCACCACACTAATAAGTAAAATTCTCAAATTTTGAAGACAAATCACCACACTAATAAGAAATCCATAAAACCCAATATTCAATTATAGTTGAAAATCGAAATTAAGCCAAAACGAAACCTTCACTACCCAAATTACGCTAATAGTCCACTAACCCAACAAGAAAGACAAGCTAAAATCACCTCTAGATGACTGTCATTGATTCAACGAGGAGAGAGCTCGAGCTACTTCATATTGTTCTGAATTAGAGAGAGAGTGAGAAATCGTGAGAGGACAGGGAGCGGAGTGGCAGAGAGAGATTGCAGACTGTATCTCTCGCAGGCAGATTGTTTGCCCTCCTGTTTGGGTGCCCTTCCTATGTCCTCTTATTTGTGCGAACACGGTTAAGTTACGTCAACATTTTATATTCTTATTACTTGTTGTCTTATTATCTCTATAAAAAAAGCTTAACCGTGACCGCACAAAATATGAGAGGATAAGAAGGGCACCCAAACAGGAGGGCAGGCAATCTGCCTCCGTATCTCTCAGATAGGATTTACATAATTACAAAACTAACCCTCTTTAATGGCTGATTTATGATTATGGGTTTTTTGGGATTACTTAAAACCAACCGTATTTTTACTTGAGCTTGTTAAGTCTTGACCCATTAATTAAAATATTGTCATCTAATTTTTGTTAAAAGTTAGTTGTAAATTAGTTTTGTTCAATTTTTTCACTTTTTATCTTCAGTTAAGGTATTATATATACAAACTAATAGTCCCATTGCTATGGTCTTCTTCTGAGTAGAACTTGCATATACCATGGAAGTGAAAGAAACATGCGATGTTTATAGCTTTGGAGTGGTTGCTATGGAAACCATCATGGGAAGGCATCCTGGTGATTTTTTCTCATCATTCTTATTAGTGCCTTCTTCGTCCACGTCGTCATCAACATCAACATTACCACCCCATCAAATGTCAGTTGTGGATGTTCTAGACCAACGCATTTTGCCTCCCACACATCAAGAAGCAGGGGAAGTACTCTCTCTTATGAAGATTGTGTTTTCATGCTTGAATCCCAGTCCACATTCTCGTCCTACAATGAGACGAGTTACTCAACTCCTCTCAACTCAGAAGTTGCATTTGTTGAAGCCAATACGTATGATAACCTGCAGTGAATTGTTTGCTCTAGATCCTTTGACGGCCTGAGAAGCAGAGAATGTGCTCGTTTCAGATAAATAAATTTCGAGTCTTCCTTTTAGAAGAAAGATTCTTCGTAGATGTTTCCTGTATTGTAATTTATTTTTATGCACTAGTTTGTTGGGGCTCTATTCACTTTATGCACAACGCTTAATGCTTTTTCAGTTAAAATTGTGTTTACGCTTGTGAGGAAGAAACAGAAGTTAATATAACAAAGAATTGGTTTTCATGCAAAGGGACAATGACTAGTTAAGATGAGAATGCAATGGCCACACTTTATACTACTATTTCTATATATGTATACGGACAGATGTAAAGTCATAGACAAAAGCTACCAAGAAGTAAACCAAAAGCAATCGGGTTCTGGCCGAAATAGCCTGCAATAGGTCTTCACATGAATTGCTTGTGGCAAGGCAGGCTTATCACTCTCTACAAGAAATCCCCCGAGGAGGGTGTTGGGCATCACACAACTGGGGGACTGCCGCAAGGTGAAGTTGCTAGAGTATGACTTTTTCAACGTATTATATTATATAGGATAAATTATATTTTGCACTCTCAAGTTTGGGTGCAATTCTAATCTCATAAAACGTGTATAAGATATTCATTAGGTTTGTTTTTGGCCCAATCATTGTACATGGTCCTTGGAGTTCCACAAATGCAATTTGGCAACTTGGATGACTATGGAGTCTTGGTAACTTGGACGATTTTAGAGTAGCAAGTGGTCCTCTGCCATAGTGGTGGAGAGGAGTGTTGCCCTTACATCACGGTATGAGTTCGAACTCCATCGGCTCCCTAATCTAACAAATCTATCGTTTGCCAAAAAAAAAAAAAAGGTCGATTTTAGAGTCTTCCATCAATGCAGTTTGGCAATTTGGCCAAAGTCCAAGTCAATTATTTTTATGTAGAAAAACACAATTTTTGTGTTATTTGTGTTCATTTTGAAAGTTGGATTGAGGTTACAGGATCTTTCTTCTCTTTTGTACTGTTTTCAGACGTGAAAAAAGGAGTGGGTGTGAAGAAACTTGCAAAATGTTTTGTTTTCCACAAGAAAATGACATCTTCATGGCTCAGTGTCCCTCAGACCACGAAAATGTTTTTCCAATTAATAATTTTTCCTCTTGATGGAGTCTTCCATAAATTTACTCACTCCAAGTCAAAGTCTTTAATTGTCGCCAGCTTGTACAGTGCACCACTTTGTTTTATGGAGCTCACCCCACTCTTTCTGGATTTGGATCCTATCCGGATTCGAATTGTGGGAATCCTAGGAATCATTACATCTTAGTTATTCATCGTGCATCGTGTGGTTATAAATCATTTAATTTTTTTTTATTTAAAATTAAACACAAATAGTACCTGATCAAAACTTGCCGCACTATGTACAATGAACAGTTAGAATGCGGAGATTCCTTGGATCCCAACAAAGTGGATCTAGAGGATTCTCTTCCACTCCTTCTAACGGTTGTCCTAAATGTGTGTATTTGTCTCTTTATTTATAAATAAAAGGTATTATGTTCAACTTCTATGAGCATTAATATTTTTGAAAACTTAATTATGGTCAGTTTGGGGTTGCTTAATTTTTTTTTTAAAAGCAGCCTCTTGAAAAAGTTGAGTCCTTAATTGACACCCCGACCCGAGTCGGGGCATGCTGGCCATCACGTGAGGGTGACGTAGCCATGTGCACAGTGCGGAAGTAATAAAGATAAGAAATATACGGATAAATAAAAACCGAAAGCTACTAATGTGCACTTATAAGCAGAAAGTATTAGAAATGGGATACAAGTGTGAATACACCTAATCAGAGCATAGAAAGTCTAGGTGCAGTCTAGTAGGACAAGTACTGTTATACAGTACCATAAGATGTCCTACTAAATATATATTTTGTCAGACTGCCGAGATCCTCAATGCCACTAACAGCAAGCCTACCTAAAACCTGGAGGGGCGCAAAACATAAAACGTGAGTGGGCAAAAACAAAGCTTTTCAAAACCATTCATTATCAAAAGCTCTAACCCCTCACCGTAAAAAAATGTATAATTTTCCCAGAAATAGAATATAAATATATTAATATATGTATTCAAATCATGCTTCACATAACCATAAACATAAGTATGCCATGCCAAATATAAAACGAAATAAGTAACTCAGGTGCAATTAAGTTCATGAATAACAATATATGAGCTGGAACCCCTACAGAGGTCTGTACATCTGAATTCATAGCTCATCAATCAATCTAGCCGGTGTCACCACAAGGGTAGGGCAACATGCGCAGGGACCCTAACGGAATCCCTTAACCCCGTTAGGAATATTCCGTTAAAAAGTAACAGGAACCGTTAAAACTAACCAACGCCGTTAGGAATATTCCGTCAAAGTTGACGGAATATTCCATCATCCCCTACCTTTGAACTCCGACGACGACGACCTTTGAACTCCGGCGACGTCGCCGTCACCGGAAAACTGGGAATTTTTCAAATCTTCATTTCTCGTCCATTTCTCAACCAAAATTCATGAAACATAAACCAATTTAAAGCTTACAATGATTAGAACACATTCTTACCAATTTTAAACTCCAAAAGTCACAGGATCTCGTCGGAGAAGACACAATAATTCCGGCGAACTTTCAAACTCACCAAACTCAACTTCCCGACGTCCAATTTGCTTGGTTTTTGTCATCCGAGCTTCGTAGGAACGTCCTAAAGCTTCCTACGAGCTTAAAATCCCCTGAAACATCCATAATTACGACCATGTGAACAGTACTCAAATCGGGGGTGATGATTTCTCGGGTTTTACAAGTTTTCAAGTCCTAAAAATGGTACGAAGGAACTCAAGAGCTTGTAGGGAACAAGAACATTGCCTTTTTAACGTCGATCTGTGCATGAAATGTGAGTTTGGCGTTCGTCCGTATAAAGTTGACGGAAATAGAAGAAAATCGAGAGGGAGGAGAGAGAGAATGCACGGGAAGGAGAGAAAAAGGGAGTTGGAGTGTGTGGTCCAAAATTGTCCACTCCAACCAACCAAAACAACCAAACAACTTAATTCCAATTAGTTCCACATACTTAGGAAAATAGCTTGGACCTAAACCTAAGTCATGTACGCACACCGCTACCCACGTTTAAGGGTAAAACTGTCCTTTTACACCATCGATAAAATTTTCCAGGATGGGCTGTGACATGGTTTGTTGTTATGGTTTTTGTCATCCGAGCTTTGTAGGAACGTCCTAAAGCTTCCTACGAGCTTAAAATTCCCTGAAACATCCATAATTACGACCATGTGAACAATACTCAAATCGGGGGTGATGATTTCTCGGGTTTTACAAGTTTTCAAGTCCTAAAAATGGTACGAAGGAACTCAAGAGCTTGTAGGGAACAAGAACATTACCTTTTTAACGTCGATCTGTGCGTGAAATGTGAGTTTGGCGTTCGTCTGTACAAAGTTGACGGAAACAAAAGAAAATCGAGAGGGATGAGAGAGAGAGTGCACGGGAAGGAGAGAGAGAGGGAGTTGGAGTGTGAGTGGTCCAAAATTGTCCACTCCAACCAACCAAACAACTTAATTCCAATTAGTTCCACATACTTAGGAAAATAACTTGGACCTAAACCTAAGTCACGCACGCACACTGCTACCCACGTTTAAGGGTAAAACCGTCCTTTTACACCATCGATAAAATTTTCCAGGACGGGCTGTGACATGGTTTGTTGTTATGGTAAGAGAAATAAAAGAAAAATTAACAAAAGTAAACAGAAAAAAAATTGAAAAGTGGGGATCGGTAAAATGCTAGTGACTCGTAAGAAATTTAGTCGCTATCCATATAGCGACTAGAATCTCAGCCAATCAATATATTTTTAGCGACTATATTATAGAATATCGGTAACAAAGTACCGATTATTTAATTTTCTATTAATTTTTTTTTCTTCCTATCTTACTTTATTTATAATTCAAATACTTTTAGATTTATATTTATATCCTTGTTTTCAATTGTTTTGACATGGATTATAAGAAAATCTTCACCGAAAATACATTTTGTAGAGCATGGAGATGATAGTTTGGTGTTACGGTACATGAAATTTTAACAAAAAGATAAATAGCAGCTTATAAATGTCCCACCCACGGCAACAATGTTTCGCCGGCCAACTATAGTTGATCCCTAAGATTAAAACTAGACCCTACCACTATTATTGGCAGCTTATAAATGTCCACCCCCAACACCAATGCTTCATGCAGGCAACAATCGTCCATCCATGAGATTAAAACTAAACCCTACCTCCTATAAATGTCTTACCCTCGATACCAATGGTTTGTACGGGCAACAATGGTTGACTCATGCGATTAAAACTAAACCCTAGCCCATATTGATTTCGGAAAAAATAGTAGTGAGGCCCAAAATGTTGCGACATAGGGTTTCACACTTAAGAATATCAATGAAAAGTCTTACACGAGTTTTCGAAACTGCATGGTGAGGTGGAGGTGAAAGTAAATGGATTCCATAATGAACTTTGTACAAAATTACAAAACCGACTAATAATAAGTGGAATAAATAGTTGTGAGGCCCAAAATATTGCTAATATAGGGTTCCACCCTCAAGAATATTAGCATAAAGTTTTACATAAATTCTCAAATTCTACGGTGAGGCATAGGTGAAAGCAAATGGATTATATGATGAAGTTTGTACAAATTTGTAAAATTGACTAAATACCATAAAAAAGCACATATTTTTTTTTGGAAAAAAGTCTAATTTTTTTACAGGAAAACTAATGAAAAGGGCTTGAAAACTTTGAGTTTTAATGATAAGGACAAAATAAAGGGTAAAGTGAATAGTACCAGGATTGACTTTTTAGTGTAAAAATGTGGTTTTTCGTTAAAGTGAACAGTACCGGGTGCTTTTCGTTAAAGTTCCCTTTTTTTACTTGGACAAAATATTTTTCTTATGCATTAAGGTAAACTTTATAAGCATATTGTGAAATGTGAGTTTGGCGTTCGTCCGTACGAAGTTGACGGAAACAGAAGAAAATCGAGAGGGAGGAGAGAGAGAGTGCACGGGAAGGAGAGAGAGAGGGAGTTGGAGTGTGTGTGGTCCAAAATTGTCCACTCCAACCAACCAAAACAACAAAACAACTTAATTCCAATTAGTTTCACATACTTAGGAAAATAACTTGGACCTAAACCTAAGTCAAGTACGCACACCGTTACCCACGTTTAAGGGTAAAACCGTCATTTCACACCTTCGATAA